ATAAATGTCCCAGGACAAACTGAAAAGTAGAAACATGCATTTTAACACAGCATGCAGAATTAAAGCAGAAGTACGTAATAAATAATCCTAATCGGTTTCTAATAAGTGTCAAAATTTTCTTTTGAATTTTTTTTCTAGAAGATTTCTGAGATTATTCACAAAAAGTTTTTGTTGGAAATGTCCTTTCCTTCTTTCTGCGAAGGCTCTGATGCTTTCAGGTTTTGGACCTACAATAAATATCGGGCTCCTTAATTTGCCTGCTTTTAGGTTACAATGGAGTCTAAAATTCTGGGCGTCGTGGCAGAAAGTTTGGGCGCCCCGGGTGTAAAGGAAGAGACGGTTGCCTGTGAAGCTGGCCGGGTCGATGACGATCCACTCCACGGTGTGCTGGTGAGTTTCGTTCCCATCCTCCTTCAGCAGCATCTTGATCTCTTTGGCGTTGTAGGTCAGGGAGCTGCAGAAACACACACAGGGTTTACCTCTCCTGGCCGGCAGGGGGCGCCGTCCCGTCGCCACCTACGTGAATTTGAGCGTGCAGTTCTGCCAGTCAAAAGGGAAGAAGTTGACGTTGATGGAGCAGGAGGAGCGGAAGATGGCGGGAGGCAGCCAGTAGCAGAGACCGGACGAATCCACCAGCACGTTGCTGTAGTAGGCCACCTGGAACTGGGCGTCGTTACTAAACATGGGGAACGATTACGTCACGATGACATCACTGCAATCACATCCTCATCCCACTACACGCACTATTGAGAACTATGTGCTATTTATTTATTTTTAATAATACATTCAATGAGTTTTTGCATTTATGAAAACATAAATGAAACATAAAATTTTACTTGTCTCATTTCAAGTGAACTAGAAACGAGACAGAAGTTCATCTATACTTTGTTGCTAACAAAATGGCCGCCCTGCGTCTGCTGACGTCACACTGTGGAAACCCAAGGAGTGCTTTGGTGGAAAAAATAGCAATTTTCCAGAAATGTAATGTTTAGACAACAAAACTTTGTTGAATCGATTTATTTGACCTGATTTGTATAAAATCTATTTTTACTTGTTTTCCAGGACGATCTCTGGCAGCCACACCATGCTGGGCGGCAGCCGCAGCATCTCGATGCCGTCGAACTCGCTGGCGTTCCACGACAGCCGGTAGTCGGTCCATGCCTGCGTCAGAGAAACGCAGATCAGATCGGAGGTTTGATTTGATCTAAAAGTTAAAAACCACTCTGACATACATGATCGATCCACACGTTTGTCAGCAGCGTCTCGTCTACTTCTTTCTAGAGAAGAAAAGACAAAAATTACATCATTTAAGAAACACGGTAGTGGCAGCATCATGCTTCAGCTGTAAAAGGGAGAGAACAGATGCATGCCACACTTTTCAGACAGAGCTGCAACTAGCGGCTATTTTAGTAATTGATCAGTCTGATGATTAACTGGATAAAAAAAAATCTGAATGTTTTACAGATTTTTTGTTTAACCTCTTAAACTCTTCTATCCAGTATTAAAAATGCATTCAAATATTCAAATGAAGAAATAATTTAATTTCTTTCTGCAGTAACAGAATGCCTTCAGTGCTGTTATGTATCAAACTTGAGGCACGGGGCCAAATCTGGCCCTCAGCAGGTCTTTATGTGGCCGGCTAGACTCCAGACTCCAGTTTTTATTTATTTGTTTGCAAAGATTCCTGCAAAATCCACTGATTCACCCTAATTCATAACTTGGAATTTATTGCAAATTTTCTCAAAAACTTTGGGTTTAATTGACTCACTGCTGCCTGCAGGTGGTAGTGTTTCTCACTTTTACCACCTGCTGCCGTTATTTGATCGATTGATCGAGTAACAAGAAGTTATATTCATACATCAGCACAAATAATGTAAAATTCCTTGAAATATTTTTAAATCTGTGATTTTGATTTCAAATAAAAAAGACAAAAGCAATCTCTAAATCCTGACGTGTTTTTAAGAATGCAAAGACAGCTATTTATTGATAAGTGATCAGTTTGGAAATGGTTCTATTACATCCTCATGATCTTGTTAAAATGAAAAAGAGTTTGAATCTGAACCAGATGAAGCTAAATCTGCTACTTGAGGGATTTTGGTAAAACCTTTCTACAGAAAAAGGCATTTTAATTCAAAACGCTAATTGTATATATACAAAAATTATATATATATATATATATATATATATATTAATATATATATATATATATATATATATATATATATATATATACAGTGTACAGCTCTGAGGGTGTTATGTTCTCAGCCATTTGTAAAGTTTGCATACTCCAGTTAACGATTGACCAAATCTGAATTAGTTCATTATTTCAATAACTGGTTCGTCAGGATTATCGTCCTGCTCTGATTTCACATGAACATGTTTTTTCCCCGACAGGATCCAGGAAGTGTCAGGTTCTGTACCAGAGAGATGAGGTTGGACAGCGTCAGCGCCAGGAAAACGTCCACCACCTCCTGCTGCTTCTTCACGGGTCGCAGCTCCTTGTTGTATCCTTTCTCTGTGAACAGGTGGTTGATCAGACGCTCCTCCTCGTTCCGGCACAAACACTCTGACACAAAACACATTCAAGACCAAAACGTTAGCTTCATGAAGCTAACTGTGCAGAAACACTCCCGATGCCGCTTAGGGAAACGCTGAAGACTTTATTTCTTTATAAAAGTTATTTCTGCAGCACCTTAAGGTCTCTTGACCTTAAGAGAGAGAACGACCTTAATGACCTCCTAACAGAGTCTAGAAAGGAGAAACAATGCAAAGAGCTCTGCACACTGTGATGCTGCGTGGCGAATAATTATCAAATATCATCATAACAGAGGAGGGCGGAGAAGTATGGTGTGTACCCTAGTAAAGATACTTCAGCATGTTTTTATTCCAGTAAAAGTAAAAAGTATTTGGTAAAAAGTCTAGTTTACTGATCAAATTGTTAATCATTTAATATTTAACCTTTAGATGAACATTATAAAACTTTAATGAAACCTGCAGCGTTTCAACAAACCGCTGGAGCGTCACTCCGTCACAGATCAGGTTTCTGAGGCCGGATGCTGAGACAGCAGGGACTAATACCATCAGAACCGACCGGAACCGGCAGAACTGACCGGAACCAACAAAACCAGCAGAACCGACCAGAACCATCGGAACCGACCGGAACCGGCAGAACCGACCGGAACAAACAAAACCATCAGAACCGACCGGAACCAGCAGAACCGACCGGAACAAACAAAACCATCAGAACCGACCGGAACCGACCGGAACAAACAAAACCATCAGAACCGATCGGAACCATAAGAACCGACCGGAACCAGAAGGACCAACCGAAACCAACAAAACCAGCAGAACCGACCGGAACCAGCAGAATCAACAGAAATCCAAATTTTGATCCTTAAAATACTAAAGTTTCCACTTTACTTCCTATATTGATCCAACTGATGATGTCAGTTTCACATTTTAAATGATTAATAATTTGATCAGTTACTTCAGTACTTTTTCCTCCAGAGTTTTTCCTTGGATGAAAACGTTTTGCTCTTAGTTCAGTAAAGTATTTTAAAGTAGTTCTGCTCTTGGTTGAGTCGTTTTTTGGCTCCTCAGTTACAAATAACTTTCTGTTATTTTAGTTTCTTCAGTTTTTCTGCTGGTTCAGTTTCAGATTTATTGGATCGTGTGAAAACATCTGAAAACTAACAGATTTCTTTCAATAAAAAGAAGCTAAATAATCACATTCTGATTAGTTTGTGGCCGATTTTTTCTGCTAATCTCCTAGAAAGTTTTTACATATAAAGAAGATCTTAAGGTGAAATTTATGACGGCTTTGTTTGGTTTGGGGTTTTTAAACAGAAAACATGTATTTTTGTGCAGCTTTTTTATTAAAGCTGAAATAAGACAAAACTAAATTACAAGTAACTTTTCAGTAACACATTCTTAATATCGATTTTAAAAGCGTTCTAGTTCCACTGGCAGATAATTTCTCTCATCACTTGGTAAGATTTAGTGTTTTTTCAGTGAAATATTTTCATTTCTCTCCGACCGAAACCAGAACTAAAGCAGTAATAACTCAGAGCGATAGAAAGCAGATCAGCTGCAGGTTTAGGTGAACTGACCTGAGGAGATGAGCGTCAGCAGCAACAGGCCGACCAGCGCCGCTCGCTGCAGCTCCATGGCGGACGGCCTGACTGGACCAGAACCCGCTCTACCCGCCGACCTTCACGCAGGAAACTCCTGAGTGACAAGCAGCAGCTGCACAAACACAGAGGGCAGAAAATAGAAAAGCGACAACAGGCTGCCGGGCCGGACCTCTTCTCCTTACAGGAAGCAGAACGAGGCCAGCCGGAAACCTGCAGAACATTCCCAGGATTAATTTATTCTGCAGAACCGGGATGTTAGAGCATGACTGCACTGTGTTTGAAACACAGAACTGGAATATTCAGGTCAGCTGCTGGAAGAACAACAGCTGCAGGATCACTGCCGGCTAGTCTGAAGGAACTGAATGAAACATTCACCAATGTTTCATGATGACACTCGATAAAATGTCACGTTTAAAGGTTTTCTCAATTGTTGACTCTGTGAAGTTTCTTCTGTTTTTGTGTTTTTAAGATATAAAGAATTTTGAAAACTGCCTTGTTGAAACGTGAAAAACACAAATAAACCTGATAGAGTGAAGGAGTGAAGGAATGTAGGAATGAAGAAGTGAAGGAATGAAGGAGTGAAGGAATGACAGAGTGAAGGAATGAAGGAGTGGAGGAATGAAGGAGTGAAGGAATGACAGAGTGAAGGAATGAAGGAGTGGAGGAATGACAGAGTGAAGGAATGAAGGAGTGGAGGAATGAAGGAAGTAAAGGAGTGGAGGAATGAAGGAGTAAAGGAGTTGAGGAATGAAGGAGTAAAGGAGTGAAGGAATGAAGGAGTAAAGGAGTTGAGGAATGAAGGAGTAAAGGAGTGAAGGAATGAAGGAGTAAAGGAGTGGAGGAATGAAGGAGTAAAGGAGTGGAGGAATGGAGGAAGAGCTGCATCTGGAAGGCGACTCCAAAACCACAGATGGACCGCTGGCGCCCCCAGCGGTCCACCCGGTACTGCACGCAAACAACGTTTATTAATTGTGACGTCAGCTCAAAGTGCGACGTCACAATTCTTCGGTAGGGAAGGATTGTGAAGCTAAGTTATACCTACTAACAGAATTGATGTCGTTCATGAACGATTCGATTCTTTTGAACGATTCTGTGCCATGAACTGTAGGACTCAACAGTTTCAGTTCTTGGTCTTTGTATTTTACTGCTCTGCTCACAGCGCCACCTGCTGTTATTTTTATTTGATCAACAATGATTAAATACAATAGATCAATAAATAAGAACTTCTTATATCTCTAGATTACAAATAAACTGAATGTCAGTCATGCAACACTTGAAAGTAAATGTAACAAGTGGCACCACCAGGTGTCGCTGTCTCCACAGCCTGAGCCTCCGTGAAAGGGAAAGTGGAAGGGTGTTCATTTCCTGTGTGTGTTGCACCAGGTGTGTGGAACAGTGTGTTGCACCAGGTGTGTGTTGGACCAGGTGTGTTGCACCAGGTGTGTGTTGCACCAGGTGTGTGTTGGACCAGGTGTGTGTTGCACCAGGTGTGTGTTGCACCAGGTGTGTGTTGCACCAGGTGTGTGTTGGACCAGGTGTGTGTTGCACCAGGTGTGTGTTGGACCAGGTGTGTGTTGCACCAGGTGTGTGTTGGACCAGGTGTGTGTTGGACCAGGTGTGTGTTGCACCAGTGTGTGTTGCACCAGGTGTGTGTTGGACCAGGTGTGTGTTTGCACCAGGTGTGTGTTGCACCAGGTGTGTGTTGGACCAGGTGTGTGTTGGACCAGGTGTGTGTTGCACCAGGTGTGTGTTGGACCAGGTGTGTGTTGCACCAGGTGTGTGTTGGACCAGGTGTGTGTTGCACAGGTGTGTGTTGCACCAGGTGTGTTGGACCAGGTGTGTGTTGCACCAGGTGTGTTGCACCAGGTGTGTGTTGCACCAGGTGTGTGTTGGAACAGGTGTGTGTTGCACCAGGTGTGTGTTGCACCAGGTGTGTTGCACCAGGTGTGTGTTGCACCAGGTGTGTGTTGGAACAGGTGTGTGTTGCACCAGGTGTGTGTTGGACCAGGTGTGTGTTGCACCAGGTGTGTGTTGGACCAGGTGTGTGTTGCACCAGGTGTGTGTTGCACCAGGTGTGTGTTGCACCAGGTGTGTGTTGCACCAGGTGTGTGTTGGACCAGGTGTGTGTTGGACCAGGTGTGGTTGGTTGTAGGAAAACTGTTTTAAAGTGATTCTGTAGAGTAAATTGTGCTGATGTGATGTTTTTATTCAGGGCTGCGTTGTTAGTGGTGGTCTGGTGGTGAAGTTACCTGGTTGTTCAGGTGGGCTTTAGACATTTGTCTTTTAATCAGCATGAATTGCACGTTTTTTTAAATATTTTTGTTTGTCAGCTGCACCAAGTTTGATCTCAGTGTTGGTTGATGCGTTGCAGGTGTTCAGTGTTTTTGATGTTTTTTAGATCAACCTGATTAAATGATTTAATAAGCATTTTTGTTTTGTTGTTTCAGTTTTTGCACTGCGTCCTGCTGACCTTTTAGCGTTTGGTTTTGTTTTGTTCGTCGGCCCAGTCAGGATTGTTTTGTCTTGTGAGGTCAACAACCTTTCATCCGTCTTGCTTGGTTTTGGGTCACTTCCTGTTGCTGTTAATCCTAAATAGTTTTGGTGTGATCTCCATTAAGTTCGCAGGAAATACTTTATGGAAGTATAACGTAAAGAGCAACTTCTTTTGATTTCCATGTGTTCAACATTATTGGAAATCTTAGAAACCACATTTCACACAATAAATGACAATAAGTGAGTTAAGTTATTTTTATTTCAGATTCTATCTATTGTCAGGGATCTGAAATTCATTTCAAGTTAAGTATTTGTTAAATGGTCTTTGAGAAACACGCCTTCAGATTTATCGCCTTCAGTTGTTTTGAAAAAAGTTGCTGAAGTCTGAAAAAATAACTCAATAAATCCGATGATGTTCTTCACAGAGTTCAGTTTTCCAGCCTGGTTCAGCTTTCAGAGGTTAGTTTCACTTTCATATCTGAACTCTCAGCGCCGCAAGTCAAATTTATTGTTTGTGTAACCATGAACCATTGTTGCACAAACAACAATGGTTCATCTTGATTGTCAATCTGTCTGGTTCCCGTCTGACTGACTCAGAACGTTCAGAGGATTTCTGAACGTTCTGAATAGAAATATTCCTCATAACATGGATATGAGTGATAAAGATGAACAGACATTTGTTTGCTTTGCTTATGGTTGACCAAGCAAACATGCACAATATATTCCTTTCTTCTGTGTAATCTACCGCCATTTTTAGTAGATTATTCTTATTATTATTAAAATATTTTGCCAGTTTTTAAACTGAAAGAAAAAAACTTTCAGTTTAAACGTTTTAAAGTGAAAACTTTTAAGAATTTATACTTACATTGGCAAGGAGTTGGTAATTATTCAGATGTTTGTTATTTATAAGGGTCATCATTACTATTATTATTATTGTTATTATTAATCTGCAGATTTTAATGACTGAGAATAAGCAGAAATGTTTTTTATTAAATTGATGAGGCCGTTGGATTAAACTGAACTGCAGAGCTAAGCTAATTATTTTCTTCCTCGTTATGTAGATGCATGTTTTCTCACGAGAGGACGACATTTTCTCATGATTCAAAGAAATAAATTGTGAAACAGAAGCGTTATTCTGCCAACTCACAAGCATTACTTCATAACAAAATGTTATGAAGTAACGCTGTGAGGTAACGGTTGTGAGAATGTTTGTACCGAGTATTTTCCTTACATTTGGTTTCATTTGTTTGTGTTTCTGATCTTTTTGCTGAAATTGTCTAATAAACCTCTGAGTTCTGCTGATGATGCGTCTGGACTCCAAACTGAGAAACCGACCCATATTCATCACTGAGCGACTCTCCAGTTCCCCTTTCTCTTTGTTGTATGAAATGTAGAAGTGTTTCCAAAAGTGAAAACAAAAAAAGAGCAGAATGTACGGTTCTGTCCAGATGGCACTTTGTTGCTCGACTTGCCACAATAAATCAATTAATCTCATAATGAATTCAAATTAGATCAACAATTTCCATTTGCATGATTTATCGTTTTCTCTTTCTACCAAAATCTGGATGATGAATGTCTTTGTGCTGTTTTGGTTTCAACTAGTTCCTTTTTTCTGAATGTTTTGTTCAGATAGATTTCCTGATTCCTTTCATTTCTGTTTTAAGATATTTAAAATGTCTTCCAGTTCCAGTGATAAATGTTGATTAGAATTTTATGTTTATTGATCTTTCAGAATGTCTTCTGGCATTATTATGTATTACCATTATATTCCTTGAAAATAGTCTCAAAACACATATTGTCGTTTATCTCAGTAACTGCTGAAGATCTTGAAGTTTTTAATCTGCAACTGTAATAAAATGTTTGCTGATCCAATTCTGCAAGGTGAAATGTCACATGTGCACAAAATTTATAAATGTCAATCTAGTGTCATGTCTATTGTGACAAAAGTATAACAAATACATAATTTGTCTTTTCTTAGACAAACTTTCATTGATTTATTAAAATCAACCTGATAATTCCTGTTTTGTTGTATTAAATCAGAACAAATTCAAATCACAACAACAAATCCACCTCTGACTGGAAAAAACAAGATGAAGCCTTTGGAGTGGTCTAGTCAAAGTCTCGACTAGTCAAAATGACAACATTATGAGAAATGAATGTAAATGTGATGCAAACAGGAAAACCTCTTTGCTCTGTGGAAAAACATTTCTGCAGAGCAAAGTGGGCCAGAATCCCACCACAGAAACTCAGAGCAAGTCTTCAAACACGCAGCTGCAGTCGTTGCTGATCAACCAGCCTCGGCCCGGCGACACCACTGTCAGAACCGCCGTCAGAACCGGCCTTAGAACCGCCGTCAGAACCGCCATCAGAACCGGCCTTAGAACCAGCGTTAGAACCAGGACCATGTTATTACTAGACAATCCCATTTCCAGAGTCGTGTGTTTGAACTGATTTCTTCCTTAATAATAAAAAGCTTTATTTAATTTAAAGGTGCATTTTACCTTCATTGTATCATTTTTCTTATCGTCCATTTAATCAGTTTGATGACCTTAAACTTTTACATGTGCATGAAGGTCATCTCAAGGTCACCTAAAGAGAAACAGCTCAAGCATTTAGATGAAGGGTGTTGTTGACTTAGAGGAATAAAATTCACTTGGCTCGTTAATTTTCCTCTCGTCTCCTGGATCCAGGGACTCCGCATGCACAGTGGAAATCACAACCACTCAACATCAAACTTCAGACATATGTAGAGTTTTATCCAGAGAATTCAATGCATACAGAATGTTACATCAGCATCACACCCAGATCATCAAGAAGCCCAACACATAACAAAACATAGAATTACCTGTGTAACAGAGAGCAAAGTGTATATTTGTCTGTATGAATTTTTCCCAAAGTAATGAAGGTTGCGTCTGTTTCTGGTGGGATTTTTGAGGGATGCCACTGTTTAGAGCCACCTAGTGGTGAGATGCCGAACTTCAGGCGCGCTCGCGGCTTCCCCCACCAGAATTCTGCGGAGTGCTGATGGAGGTCGGTGCGAGAGAGGCAGCTCTTCCTTACTTTTTTTCACTTGGGGTCATATTTTTCTAGTTCAATACCTGACAAAATATTAGAAATGCATTTAACATCTACAAATGTAATTTATAAAGTTTTGTCGTGGTTGGGCTGGAAAAATCTGACCCTATGAGTGGGAGCTCGTGGCTAACTATTCAGTCATGATGCTAACTGTGTCTTTTTGTTTTTCAGCTGAGGGGCTACTAAAAAACAGTGACATTTTGAAGATTTGTCTTTTTTTTATCATTTTAGGTGGGTTCTGGTTATAATATATATATATAAATGTTTTCTAAATGTTATAACTGTTAACTGCAATGGCAGTTATCTGTTATTTTACTGTTTGTTTTGTTGAAGTTAGCTTGGAATGAGAATGTTTTGTTTTTGATTTTCAGAAATTGTAAACTGTTAAATTTAAACTATACGATCACACACAAAAAAAATTAAATAAAAGAATTCTGCGGAGTGCTGGTGGAGCTGAGGGGCCACTCACAGGCAGTGACATTTTGAAGATTTGTCTGTTGTTCCCATCATTCTAGAGAACGTTACACCTGCAACGAGTTGAAAAGGAAAAACAAAAATGCATTTTTGGGAATTGCTCACTCTGGCGCAATCAAAGCAATTTGTTCTTCTGCTGTAAAACACATTTTTGTAATGAGGTGTATTCCCTTCATTTAAATATATGCGTTAGAAGGTGTGCACTCCCCTTGTAGGGCTGTTTAAAGTTAATTTTATTACCTTCTTTGATACCTGTTAAAATCCAAAAGCAAATATATGGAGAGAACAAAAGTCATCCTCCACCAGTATTCCTGTACCAGTCTCCTCCTTTTTACAATCCAGACCAGAATTTATAACCTGCAGCTCGACCTGGTGGTTTTCTGCCTCAGATATTCTGATTTCTGTTATAAACACACTGACACAGAAATATGGTGCCAGATGATAACTGTGAGTTTGGATCTAAAAACTGCAGAATTATCTTCTTTCAGAAAAAAAAAAACTTTTAGAATACCTGAAATATTTCACTTCTAAATCTTTTAGTTTCCTAATCCTGTTCTATTTTAGTAATCATATATTTAATTAGTATGGTTAGACACTAACTAGTTCAGAACATGCTGTTAATACTTCAAAGAAATGTCATAGTACATTTGATTATATTTCTAGAAGAATTGTTTTCTAAAGGTTTTAGTGTTTTACTGAATTTCTAAACAAACACCAAAGAATTTGACTCAAGCAGACCCCCTCTGTCTGTAGACCCCCTCTGTCTGTAGACCCCCTCTGCCTGCAGACCCCCTCTGTCTGTAGACCCCCTCTGCCTGCAGACCCCCTCTGCCTGTAGGACCCCTCTGTCTGTAGGACCCCTCTGCCTGCAGGACCCCTCTGCCTGTAGGACCCCTCTGCCTGTAGACCCCCTCTGCCTGCAGACTCCCTCTGCCTGCAGACCCCCTCTGCTTGCAGGACCCCTCTGCCTGTAGGACCCCTCTGTCTGTAGACCCCTCTGTCTGTAGACCCCCTCTGCCTGTAGACCCCCTCTGCCTGTAGACCCCCTCTGCCTGCAGGACCCCTCTGCCTGTAGACCCCCTCTGTCTGTAGACCCCCTCTGCCTGCAGGACCCCTCTGTCTGTAGACCCCCTCTGCCTGTAGACCCCCTCTGCCTGCAGACCCCTCTGTCTGTAGACCCCCTCTGCCTGTAGGACCCCTCTGTCTGTAGACCCCCTCTGCCTGTAGGACCCCTCTGCCTGTAGACCCCCTCTGCCTGCAGACCCCTCTGTCTGTAGACCCCCTCTGTCTGTAGACCCCCTCTGTCTGTAGACCCCCTCTGTCTGTAGACCCCTCTGCCTGCAGGACCCCTCTGCCTGCAGGACCCCTCTGCCTGCAGACCCCCTCTGCCTGCAGGAACCCTCTGCCTGTAGACCCCCTCTGCCTGTAGACCCCCTCTGCCTGCAGGACCCCTCTGTCTGTAGACCCCCTCTGCCTGTAGGACCCCTCTGTCTGTAGACCCCCTCTGCCTGCAGGACCCCTCTGCCTGTAGACCCCCTCTGCCTGTAGACCCCTCTGCCTGTAGACCCCCTCTGCCTGCAGGACCCCTCTGCCTGCAGGACCCCTCTGCCTGCAGGACCCCTCTGCCTGCAGGACCCCCTCTGCCTGCAGGACCCCTCTGCCTGTAGACCCTCCTTAATGATTTATGTAAGTTCAGAGAGTCAGCAGTTGTTTTTGTTTGGATTTTTATCTAAGTCTACCTAACTTAGAATCTACTCAACATATTCATGCTACATCTAATATTTCATATGCACAAAGGTTAACTGTTTCTAAAATTAGTCCAACCAAACTTATACTCCCAACAGTGTCCAAGAGCTTTCAGGGGCCACTTTTATTTCTAAAGATTTTTCTGTTTTTGTCTTTTTTATAATGTTCTAAAAAGACAATATTTTAATAAAGTGAAGAAGTCAAATGTTTGTAGAAAAGGTTGAGTTGTGCCCTCAGGCTCGCTCTGTTTCCACAGAGAAGTGACAGTGCAGGTGCGGTTCCGCTGCAGGAGTGAAGTCAGACCTCTCAGCCAGCCGATCAAGAAAGCAGATGACAAGCTGAGCAGAGGTTTCAGATCATGCGGGAAAAAATTCCCAGCGTTGTGGCGCTTTCTGCGTTATTCACGCTGACGTGGTTCGCTGTGTTTCTACTCCACAGTGAAGACACTGCTGTTGTTTTCCCCTCCGCCTCACACCTTCCACAGGCCCAGAAGGGAAACAGGAGTGTTTTTGGGAAGGTGATGCATCGTGTTTCAGAACCTGACGACTCCTGGAAAACAGCAGCGACTTCTGCAAAACCAGTCCAGCCTCTGGATCCGTGTCCCGACTCGCCTCCATCTCTGGTGGGTCCATTTCTGGTGGAGTTTCAAACCAAGTGCAGCCTGGACTTGGTCAGGACGCAGGTGAAGCTGAGCTGCAGCAGGGAGGTCGGTTTCAAACCCCCGGGCTGCACCGCCAGGCAGAAGGTGAGGCAAACTTTCACCAGAAGCTCTGTGAAATAAATACATGCAGTCATAGAGAGTTTAGACTCAAGATTTGAAGCATCTCAGGGATCCAGGTTTCAGTGGAAAATACAGAATGATAAATAATTTATGGTTTGTACTATACTGTGTTTTTCATTCTTGCTCCACAGCAAAGGGAATAAATCAAATGTTTCTCAGCTGTTTCTGATTGTTGCAACAAACACTGAACATTATATACTTGAGCTAATTATGGACAATCAGTTCATATATGACATGTTTTTATCCATTTTATTGGAGGATCAGGTGAAAGAGGAGAGGCTGCTGCCTCAGCAGCATCTGAATGGGAAAATAATCAAATTGGTTAAACTAAATGGAAAATAAATACTTTATAGTATAAACCATAGGGAGAAAATAGCAATATAAATGATTTTATCATTATATATTATTTTTCCCTGCCTTCCCTCACTGATATATCATTTAATTTGAATCTGCCCTTGTGAAAAAGCAAAATATTGAGTATATAAATGTTAGCATGCTTGATGCTAATCATCATATAGTACCAGTTAGTTAAGGGTTAGTTAACTTGCAGTGACTTATTGTGGAACAACTGATGTGGAAGCCAAGTTAATGTAAAACAATATTCAGTTACTGTCATGTTTGTGTTTTTCTGTGGGTTTATTTTGAGTTTCTGTGTCTCCATGTTGTCCTGTTGTGTCTCGTTCCCTGATTACCTCCAGTGCATTTAGTGGCCCTGTGTTTTTGGTGCTTGTTGTAAGTCGTCTCCACGCTGTGTCCATTCATGCATCCTGATCTCTACCTGGACTCCAGCGTTGTGCACATGCGTGACATTTAAACAGCAACAGGGTCCATAATGTCTGACTGGCTCTTCACCTGCATCCCTCCACTAGGTGGCGGTCATCGTCCCGTTCGGAAACCGTCATGAACACCTGGCCCACTGGCTCTACTACGTCCATCCGGTCCTGATGCGTCAGCAGCTGGACTACGGTGTGTACGTCATCAACCAGGACGGAGACGGAGCGTTCAACCGGGCCAAGCTCATGAACATCGGATTTATTGAAGCACTGAAAGAATACGATTACGACTGTTTTGTATTTTCGGATGTAGACCTGGTGCCAATAGATGATAGAAACCTGTACAGATGTTCTGACCGTCCCAGACATTTATCTGTGGCTATAGATAAATTTAACTACATATTAAACTCAAAAGCAGCTTTTGGTGGCGTCTCCCTGCTGACAGAGGAGCAGTTCCTGAAAGTCAACGGTTTCTCAAACACTTTCTGGGGCTGGGGTGGTGAGGACGACGACATGTACAACAGAATCATCGCTAGAGGATTGTCCATAAATCGGCCGGACGCTCAGATTGCAAGATACAAAATGATCAAACATAAGAGACTTGCACAATGAGGTGAATCCAGAAAACGCTGTAAAAACACAAAAATCAGCAGAGAATATTGACACTGATGGACTAAAATTCACTGAACTTTACTGTCAACAAGATTTTGAAGGATGTCTTGTTCACTTTAATCACTGTGGATGTTCAGCCTTCACAGGATCTTACTTGAAATGGTGGAGGTTATGGCTTTGCTCTGCAGAACTATGGCTTTATTATCTTGGAAAATAACAACCATTAAATGAAAGTTTAAGATAGCACAAGTTAAATGGATGAACTTTGGTTACCAGAAAGCACAGATACCAACCGATTTTCCCAGCCAACAAGAAACTTTTTGCCTTGCTGGAATCAGCCAGTTACACACATATTTATGCCTAAATAAGACACTATTTATATTGTGGTCAGATTCTGTCTGACTGATAAAGAGTAAAGCCAATGTTTTTTTTTTATGTTTTGTAGATCATTAGTAAAGAATGTAGGTAGAACAGCTAAACAGTAGTATGTGAATAAGGAGATAATTTAAATGCACAAATAATATCTTGATATTTGGGCATGTTTTTGCTGTTGCACTGTTTTTATTCCACCATTACACAACTTTTTGAAAAAATGGCTGCAGGTTCCAAAACTTTTTTTTTCAGTTTCAAATAATCATTTTCAAATCTTTGTTTTTCTTTTGAGCAAAGTTTATGGCAGAGATTTAGTTCCATATACATGTAGGAATTCCTCCACTGTTGTCATTTTGATATTTTCCTAAATTAAGAAGATAATTTCAAGCTAAATTCCCTTCCAGCTATGACAATTCAATAAAAGCACATAAACATAATGACGGTGATTCTTGGCAACATTTTTGCTCCCAACTAGTTAAGGGCTGGTTAGAAATTAGCTCCCATTTGCTTTAATGTCTGGACTTTGGATTGGTTACATTTCACTTCCTGTACTGAATAACAGAGCAGAACATTGACATCACAGTTCACAACTGCTTCTGTTTGCTGATTGGCCCGTTCAAAAATCGGCCAGAATCCAAGTGAAGGGGAGAAATCCCAGACTGTGCCGGAAGTTTCCTAAAGATTTCATTCATTCTGGGGACAATTATTTTGCCTGCTGGATAAAGTAATAAATAACAAACTGATTAAACTGCTTGTCTTAGAAGGCTGAATTTAATGCTACAAGATAAACACAGACCTGGTTGTTTTTGCTGACCTGCAGATTTAATAAATTATTTAAACAGCGTCTCATCTGCAGTTGAAACCCTCGAAAAAAAATGTAACCAGTTTTAGTTAACTTCAGTTATTTTAGCTAATGATAGATAGATAGATAGATAGATAGATAGATAGATAGATAGATAGATAGATAGATAGATAGATAGATAGATAGATAGATAGATAGATAGATAGATAGATAGATAGATAGATAGATAGAGATTGCATTTATTGTCATTGAACAGGATTCAACAAAATTTTCATTGCAACTCCCCTGCAAAAAGTCAAATATATACAATAAATAAAATAAACACACAATAATAACAATATATACAACTAAAACTAACTAAAAGGCACTCCAGCCACACTAAAGAAGAAGCAGCAGGTCCAATTATGGCAAAGTGCAGAACCATATGGCTGTGTGGGGGTGGGGGGTGTATGTGAGGTTATGATATGTGTGGGAGGGGGCGGCAGGGAGTAATGGCTCTGACGGCTGTGGGGAAGAAACTGTTTCTGTTTGTTGTAGTCCGGATATTCCTGAACTGCTTGCCTGATGGCAGCGGCACAAACAGTCTGTGGCCCGGGTGGCAGGAATCCATGGCTATGGATCCAGCTCTCTTCTTGACCCGGCCCATGTAAATAGAGTCCGGGTCTGGGAGGGGGCATCCCACAATGCCTTGTGCTGTTCTCACCACCCGTGTCAGTTGTTCCCTCTCCAGTGCTGTGCAGCCACCATTCCACACAGAGGATGCTCTCAATCGTCGCCCTGTGAAAGAGCAGCCGTGAGGAAAGTTATATTCCTTGTTATATTTAGTATATTGGTATTGGCAGAAAACTGTAATCGGTGCACATAGACAATTAAAGTTTTAATTTTTATACAGAAAGAAAATTTGATCCAAGGGATTTTTTTCTTGACATTAATTTATTGACTGCATTTACATACAAATATAAACAATAAAAACAAACAAGAACATATAAAAAGTTCAGTATAAGTTCAGAAAAAAAGATATTAATTCATGTGTTTTATTGAGTCTAAAGTGAATTAATGTTTAGAATGAGCTTTGAGTTCATAAGTGTCGCTCCTCTCCCGTCCTGGTGGAGGCGCTGTGGTCAGAGCGACAGGTTGACGTCGCTCTTCAGCTTCCCGCTGCTCAGGCTGTGGATCATGGCGATCATGGCCGAGTGCTTGTTCAGCTCGTCTTCTTTCTGCTTTAACTTGCTCTCCAGTTGGCTCTTCTGCAGCTCCAGAGACGACACCTGCCAGAGGTCAAAGGTCAGAGGAAGACTGAGCATCATTAAGCTGCAGTTTAGTTTCTTAAACTGCAGCTTAATGAAGCAAATATTGAATAATAAGAGATCAGCTATTTGTAATCGTTAGCATAGCATCAATACCCTTTATCATTTGGCCAATAATAAAATCACAAACTCCTCAAGTACTTAACAAGTTCCAGCAAATGGATGAAAGTCTTCAGTCAGAGGACCCTTCAGAGTTGTTGGAACGCTAACTGCTACTGGAAATTCTTCCTTCTATCCACTGATTAATGTAGAGCAATGGAGCCCACAGTGGAGC